GGAGGGGTAGTGGGGAATGCCGGCGTATCCAGGTCAGGGCGAACGCTGACGCCGGCACGCGTAGTCGACGTGTAGGTTTTTCTGTGCCGATCCGAACTCGACCTAGTTTGATTCCAAATCGGTTGAAACCGCCCTTGGAGTTGGCAAGGAGTCGGCAATCAAGTGGTTGGAGTTTTTTTTGGAGCGTCGAGCAGTTCTGCGATTGTACGAGGCCACGCTGTACCGTTCTAGCGGTTTGAATCAGGTTCTGACTGGAAAATCCGGGGATGTGACCACTCTGTCCCCGGTTGGGGACTCCTCCCCCACGTTTGAATTCACTTGCTCCTTGCTTTAGTGTCGAGGTCTGTGTCAAACGGCGAATCATGGGGTGAAAGCGAAGTAGAGAAAAACAGGAGATGCAGCGTCGTGCATATCGGGACTGGGGGTTGCCGTAGACGGACGCGAACACCGGTAAATGCACCCGCTTCTTACCGATCAANTGAATCACTTTCTGACTGGAAAACCCGGGGATGTGACCACTCTGTCTCCGGTTGGGGACTCCTCCCCCCCGTTTGTATTTACTTGCTCCTTGCTTTAGTGTCGAGGTCTGTGTCAAACGGCGAATCATGGGGTGAAAGCGAAGTAGAGAAAAACAGGAGATGCAGCGTCGTGCATATCGGGACTGGGGGTTGCCGTAGACGGACGCGAACACGGTAAATGCACCCGCTTCTTACCGATCAAAATGGCGTGCAAACTACCGTTTCATGTCGCAATTTTTTTTGTGAAGTCGTTGTAAACCAGTACCAACTCAATCCTGAATAATTTTTTTGGCCCCACCCCGATTCATGGTCACGGGGCCCCTCAGCAACCGATACTTGGGGTGTTTTTCCTTCCAAAAAGTTGGTTCAAAACCCGGGGATACGCCAATTTCATCCCCGCATACATTGTTTTTTCTTTTTTGCTACGACTCATATTCATAAGGTGATTGACCATGACACCAAGTGTCATCCATGACACCAAGTGTCATCCATGACACCAAGTGTCATGTCCTGAAACGTTGTTTCACGTGCACAATGTGGCTCTAACGCAAAGTGGGGCTTAACTGGCGGGGGGTGGTATTTTCCGTGTTTTCAGCATCGAGGAGCCATGTATTGTACTGACTCTAACAGCACACAAACTCATTTTTTTTCAAAAAAAAAAAATCTACACTCAGATATTGATGTTGACTTTCGTTCAATACCTCGATTGTACTCTAGTTCAACCTTTTCACGAAGTACCAGCTTTTTCCGCACAGAGTGGCTAAAGTGGGGCTTAATAGGGACATCTACTCTACTCGACCACCATTATGGTTACCGCCAAAAAAAAAACGGAGGTAAAAAAAAAAA